AAGCAGAAAGGGAAAACTCTGTATTTCAGTTCAGAACTCTGAATCATTTGAGGGGGAAAAATACTCTTTTTCTTGTAGACCTAACTCTTGCTTTGATCTGAGGTTTGCAGGCTAGTGCTTACAGTATGTTTTTATCATCTTTCATAATTCCTTTGAGAATACTCTGATTTTTACTTCTGTTTTATATTCGGACTGGCATATGCGCCTCTCAGATTACAAGGGCAAGTGCTTGTTGCACCAGTGGTTGCTGCCACCGAAAATACGATAGTGTCGACGCTGCTAATTGTACTGATTCTTTCCTCTGCTCTGATTCAGCTCCAGAGATGTACACGTCCACAAAGCATGCATTCCTTTGACTTCTTATCACTTGACTGAATGGCCATAAGCAAATGCACCCTCACTGCCTGGTGCCTTTCTGCTTTCATCTAAAATTAAAACTGTAGACCACTTCAAACTGCTTTCCCGGAGGCCCTCTCTTGCAGCCACGTGGGAAAGTACATTTCCAACCCAGGACTGCAGCTGGGGCCTTTGGACCAAGTTCAATACTGAGGTAAAGCAGGATAACCTCACTGAAGTCAGTGGAATTCAACAGCCTTGAGCCACAGGTACATGGTGTTCACGGAGGAGGCGTACAGACAAATGGCGTAGAAAAAAAATTAAAGTCATTCCAAATTATGTAGTGGGATTGCTGGAGGTTCTTAAATTCTCTGGCTTCTGCCACCTGCCAGCAGGTCCAGTATTGTGCTATCAGCCTGAGGTACACTGTATACTACTCTAGGACAAACAGTTTAACTTAGTTTGTAATCTCTTTATTTAATGGAAAGTCACCTTGATGTTATGTTCAATAGTATTTTGATGCTATAATTTTGCCAATTTCTCCAAAGTGTTTTTCCTTACAGAATCACAGAATGCTCAGGGTTGGCAGGGACCAACTCTCCAGCCTGTGCAGGTCACGTTGTATGGTGGCACAGCCTTCCAGCGTGTCAGCCACCCCTCCCAGTTTTGTGTCATCAGCAAACTTGCTGATGGTACACTCTATCCCTTCATCCAGATCATCAATGAATATATTGAACAGGACTGGGCCCAGTACTGACCCCTGAGGGACACCACTTGTTACTGACCTCCAACTAGACTCTGCACCACTAACCACAAC